GCTGCAGTCAGCATCAGTTTTTCCTGACACAAGTGCCACGAGCACGAGTGTGGCACCTCATCAACACGGATGAACATGATGCGTCCGTTCGTCGTGAGATCTCCTCATGCATTTGGGAAAATTCTCTTTAGGAATTGCAAAATTTTGCACGTTTTGTTTGCGTTTTATTAGAGAACCCCCCAAAGACAAGGGTTAAGCTCTGCTGCTCTCTGCTTTCGGTGTTTGGTGTTCGGTGTTCGGGGCAGATGCCAACAGTTGGAGTGGCTTTAAGGTCTGATGACTGACTCTTGCCGTTCCCACAGTTGACTTTGTTGGTTCAACAATTAATCATAGTGCGGCAAGACAGACCCTCCTGAGGGAACCTCCTTCCTCCAATAATAACACTAACCATGTTAAGAAAACGTTGGCATGCCTCGAAAATTTATGCACACCCCTTATCAAAATGGTTTTCCGGTGGCATGGACATTAGTTTTTGGTTTGGCGAACAAAGGTCCTGCGTGGGCGTGGGCGTGGCGTTGCATTGTTGCCGACAGTTGCAGCCAAGCGAGTGAAATGTTTAACAAGCGCAAAATTCGCAGCAAGGAAAAGCCTGGAAAAGGAAAATCGCGGGGGCGAAAGACGACAAAGAGATAACAAAATCCAGCTTGCTGTTTGCTCTCTGCTTCGGTTTTTTCTTTCCCTTTTTTGGGTAGGTTTCCTTCACTTGTTCCTTCTTTTGGTTGCTTGTCCGCCTCCTTCCTTTCGTCTCTGGTGATTTATTTTAGGCGTTATTTTTGTTGTTAAGTTTGATACCCCTTGAGGTTGTAATTCAAGAGAGGGGATATATGGTTGGTGGAAGGGAGGGTGGAAGCTGATTTATTGCTAAGCAAAGGCTTTGCATGCAAAAGATGTTGTATTCATATAGTAGCATTTTTTGGATAGAAAACCCTCTAGGTTCTTAAATATATCACGATGGAAATGTACATAAAAAAATATTATAAATATCAGAGAAAACACTAGAAATGCCATTGCTAGTAATATGAAAAAAAAATACTTAAGATAATACCAAAAAAAAAACTTAAAAAAATATCTGACAAAATACTGTAAATTCCAAACATTCAAAACATTCCAAAATTCAAAATATCACAGAAATACTGTTCTATTGCATAGAATATTCCAATTTATTAAATACATATTTGATACACCAGAAAAATACTTTAATAAATACTATAAAAATACCAGAAAAATCTTCGAATATTCCAGAAAAATACTAGACAAAACATATACAAAAATACCATACAAATTTAATGTACTAGAAATAATACCCGAAAGTATAAGAAAGAATACCAACAAACCATTAGAAAACGCCAGAAAAACTGCATTCTTTTTCACCAACAAAAAAAAACACCCAAATTAATAAGTATCATGCCCTTCCACGCATGCCCAAATAGACCAAATTTTTTTTATGGTTCTTCTTTTTATTTTTGTTTCGGTTGCAGACTGTGCTGAAAATTTAATTAAATTTTCTGGCCCTAGTTGTTAACAACAGCCGACGCGACGCAACGTCTCAGTTAATCTTTTGATTAGCTCGCAGTCAGACAATGCGAATGCATGTTTCTCTCTCTGGGCCTGACAACTTGATAATCTTCAGAGACCCAAAAAAAACAAAAATGGCCATGCCCTCATCCCAGTTGCGACATGTGGCAGCAGCATTTGATGAAATATAAAACTTCAAAACGAGTCTGACAGCTGCTGACATTGCCATCGTGCTTACTCCAAATATTTTTGAGGCTGGGGGGTTTGCCGATGGCTGCACATTGCGCATACGTCATGTGGCACGAATTTCAATATCTACATGTGCCACAGGATTTATAATGCATACACTTATACCAGATTTGTCATCTGGTGGCTGAATCAACTGTCATCTTATGCGTATTCAAATGCTCAGCAATTAATCTGCTTATCCGCCCACAAAAACTGACAGACAGCCAACGTGATTGCCCATTTTGCCAATATTTTCCAGAGAACATCCACCCCCCAGGCTCCAGGCTTTCTCTCGAATGCAGTCATTGGACTTTCGAGCAAAGCAAACGAGTCTCAGGACATTTTTTGTAAGGACATTGTGAATTCCTCTAGAAAAATGTCTTTTTATCTCACATTTTCAGGCGTCAGACGCAAACCTTTGTGTTTCAGACCTTGTTTCTTTTGTTTATTACTTTCTTCGTTCCTTTTGAAGTACTTTTTTTAAAGAATTTCATTTTCAATTATCAGTTCGAAGCAAGATCAAAATCGCAATGTCTGTCCATTGAGGTATTGGAATTTGTGTGAATCCATTATGAAATGATGGAAATGATGGCATCATATTAAGGCCTTCAATGGTGGCAACCAGTATGTAATCTATGAATGTAGTCTTATGAATTTAAAGTCGATTAATAATCGATAAGCACACAAATTTACAATCAATTGGTGTCCCTCTTGCATAGCCATGCCTCTGTCTTGGTTTATGCAGCTTATAAAAGAAATTTCAGCAACATTGTAACGCCCTTCATATCTAATTAAACTCGAAAATATTTTTTAATCGATTTGTAATTGATAAAGTTTGGTTGCGCACCAATTTTCTCCCGTTTGATGACTAGAACTTTCGCCAAAAGCGAACCAAAATGAAAGTTGAAATCGATTTCGAGGGCCCCGCACATGTGTGTGCATTCTGCAGAAGACCCGACCCCCACGGGCTGGACACCCGAAACCCTTACAAAGTGATACAAACTTTTATGGCATGTTGCTGGCCCCGGTTATGGCCATAAATGGAGGCAATTACCAACACCTCTTAATGCTGCGAAAATTGAAGTGAAATAAACAAAATTAATATGCTGCCACCCGCTGGGGGCTGTGTCTCCCTGAGGCACGTCTAAACACAATGAACGGCGGGCGGATACTGGGGAGATGTGGGCGGGGGGAGGTCATGGGTCACGATACAGTGTACAGCATATGTATATGGACGCTAAGGAGCTGGAAATTAATTGTTATGCATGTGTTTGCAAGCCAACGAGGCAAACAATTAAGGAATGGTATCTTCTCTCAGAGGACCAGAGTCCTTCAGATGACTTTGCAGGACCTGTCGTACGCTGTCGCTGTCGCTGTCCATTCATTAAGCCACCGACATGATGGCGTTTCAGAAGCATAAAACTAAATATTGTCCGGCATTTCCAAATGTCAACAGGGTTGCCCTTTCGACAGCGGAAGGGATATACGTATCAGGGATCGGCCGTCCGCCACACACAATCTCGGTACGTCAGTGCTTAATTAAAACTCCCTGGACAACTTTATTTCACTTCCAGAACCAGGGGTCCGGACCGCTGTCAAATTAAGGCCCAGGCAGGCTGTTGCACAAGTCTGTGGTTTCCTGATTCCCCGCTCTGACACTCGCCGTCTCTCTGATTCTTGGCTGAAACCAATTTCAGCTAGATGATGTCAAGTCATTAAGTTATATGTGGCCTGGACTCCTAACCCTAAAATAGCCTTGAGCTGTGCATGAGATACGAGACCACAGACCAAAGTTCAACCAACTTCCAGTTGCCACAACTTGTTGCATGAAATTCGCAGAAATCTACAAGAATTCCTTTGGTATTGCTTATTGCAGTTTGAAAAGTCTGCCTTATGGCGGACACATATGCCCTCAGATGAAAAATGGTAATGGTAAGACCCTTACCCCCTTTCCCTTCGAAATTCGTACGATTAAGGCACCCACTCTTCAGGGTTGAGGCCTGATTAAATCTCAATATCCCCACCATATGTTTATCTGACTCGGAGAAAGCCTCCAGGGAAGTCCCTTGTCTCTTGGCAACCTCCGTGGGATTTTCATTTAACTTTAAAGCCAGAAGCAAAGCCAAAGCAAATGGAAAGCCTCTGATCTCTGTATGGGGGGAATATTTCCATTTGTCAAGCACTGCCTTGCTGCCAAATCTCACCTGGCTTTTGGCTCCGGGTGATTAAGCCTCATTTATCAAATATTAAGATGAGCCCAGCAGAAGCGTCCTTCAAGTCAAGGGCCGGCTTAAAGGCCAAGAGCCTGGTCTGTGTCCTTCGCTATGCTCTCTTCAAGTCAATATTGATATTGAGATAGATGCTGGCAATTGGAAAGTACCCTCCCGCTTCCCAATCGAAAAGTTTCCTTATGCCGTGGAATTTTTGATATTTGAAAAGTTTCGCTGCGTGCTCTCTCAACGGTCTCGGCAATATTGGCAAGACAAACAAACATATAATCGTTAAAGTTTTAATTGTGCTGTGTGCAAATGATGTTTTTGTTACCATCCAAATTTAGATGCCACAAAGTTTGAGAAGCGGCATCGTCTTAAAGAGACAAGGGCCTGTAGACGAATCTGGAAGCTCTTTAAAAATCTCCAATAGCAAAAGACTGAAACAACCAACCTATGCAAAAACCCTCAGAGATACACATAAAATGCATTTCCCAGACAACTTTCAGGGGGAAACTTTATCTCAACTTTTCCGTCTGCAGCGGACTTTTTGTCAAATAGTTGAAGACATTCTGCAACTAGAAAACTATTGACATGTTTCGTTCCCTCTTCTGGTACTTTTTTTTATTTATTTATTACAAAGTTGGCGTTTCATGGCGTTGACATGACAAAACAGGACAAAGCACAACAAAACAGAATGGAGGAAAGCCTGCCCCTGCTCTCGGAGTGATTGAGTCCAACATTTGTTGAACAAATTGCTGGGGATTTCTCTGAAATCCATCTTTTGCCACACAAAAAATGTACATTTTTGGTGAATTAATTTGATGTCTCGACCGATTCGTGTGCTTGTTATAGTCACAGATACACAGGTACACAGACAGGAGATACAAATGTCTGGCTAAAGAAAAAAAAATCTTTGCATAATGGAGCGAATATCTGTCTCCTAAGAAATTCCACAGATGACACATGTGCACATGGGCAAATGTACCCAACAAAAGGATACAAAAGGCCAATGATTAATTGAAAGTCATCAGAGTTGACGCCCTCAGAGGATTTAATCTGGATGATGATGATGATGGGTAGATGAATGTCAGTTTTTTGTTTGAGAAAATGACTGCCAAATATGCCTTAAATTAATCTTATTCTTAGTTTTTATATTTTTACAACATGGCCAAGGGAACTGCCATTTACCATAAACATTGCAGACATTCCAGCCGTTTTGGGGGTCTTTTAATTTTTTCGATGGTATGCACTGTACCTGCACAACCTCGTTGGGCAAAACATATTTCGTTCCATTGATACCATGATGATATTTGGTGGCTAGTGTGAACGAGAGTGGTGCTGGTGGCTCCAGGCATTTGTTTGGGTTTTTTTTCGTATCGCAAACAGATTTCAGCTCATCCGAACCATCGATGCAATCGTAATAGCCGTTGCACACTTTTTCAACTGGTATAAGCCGACCATTGCCGCACTGGAACTGCGTCTCGTTGTGCCACTGTTGGTAGCAGACATTCAGGGATTCGTCGAATCCATTTACACAGTCGTGCCATCCATCGCATTGGCTGGCGGCAGGCACACACTTTCTTTTTCGGCAGTCAAAATACCGATCACTGAAATTAAAAGAGAAATTAGAGAAGAGAGTACAATTTCAGGATTCCACAGATACTTTTGACACTCTCCGCGACGATTTATCTTCTTTTCAGGTTGGCACATCGATGACATCTCATCCGATCCGTCCGAGCAGTCGACTTTTCCATCACACTTTTTCGATAATTCAATCACTGCCCCGGTGGCACAGTAGAAATACGAGGAAAACATTCGATCCGGATGCTGTTTGCACAACACAATGGACTCATCCTCGCCATTCGGACAGTCTTCCTGTCCATTGCACACCTTAGAGCTTGGTATCCAGGCGCTATTCTGCTCTCCCGTGCAGGTACCCTCTTTGACGTTGCTCTCCCAGCAATGGAACCAATCAAGGAGATCCGATTCACATTTGCCAAGGTCTGCGAACAATATTAAAATTATTATACAAACAAGTTGGTGCATTATAAGAACTTGCCACTGCTACATGTTGCAGGTGTAGACATCATCACCAGGCCTAATAAAAAGTACTCGTACATTTTGAAGAGCGATCTGAACCACTGAGAGTTTTGCCGAAGACTGATTTGAAGTTCCGGGCTTAAGCTCGCGACTCGTTAATCCCAGGGCGAATTCTCAATCGGGACAGGAGAGAGCACAGTTCTCGGCGAGAGAATGAGAGACACGAAGAGTGCTGTGATCGGAGACCAGACGACGATCGACGCGTCGCTCAAGTTCAGTTTCTTTTGCCTTTATATGTCTGTATGTACTTGATTACCAATCAATTAGCTATTAATAAACATGACTTATAGCCGATACTAAGTCAGTATGGCTCTCCTCCGCCAGACTACGCTAACATTGAACGACAAAGAGTGTGTGCGAGAGAGAGACAGAAAATCAGTCATTCTTATTCTTATTCCTTTGAGGTGATCCGGTTGAACGTTGCTTAAATGATTGACTCCCTCTTCGCTATGCTGTTATCTTCTTGAATTAATAAATGTTTAAAAGTTCAAAGATCAAATATAATCGTATTTCAAGAACCAAAAGATTGTCTCATGCACGGCCTACGAATGCTTATTTCTGGAAATGCTGCTACTTCCCAGTCAAACAAAGAAAATTGCATTGTATTTCTAAGAAATTTCCCTATTACTTTTCCTGTGGCTTGAACCAGAGTCACATTCGTTGTGGTTCCTGTGGCTGCTGTCGGTTTAAATCTCTTCAAACATCCCATTGTCTTGTTTTTGGTAATCGACGAGAAGTGCCCTTTGGTCCTTTGATTGATAGGCATTTACAGGGCTTTCAGTGTCAAAGCCAAAGCTTATTTCATCCTTAATCTGGGCTGGAATATGGCATTATCAAAATATGGCCAAATTGTTGTGACTTGTGTGTGTGTGTTTTTTTTTTTGTGGAAGCAAAGGTCTCTGGCCACGTTGTAATCGATGATTGGGGATTAGATGGAATCCCCCAGGGCTAAGGAGAGTCCCAGGCTGTGGCTAATCTCGGATATACAATGAGGATATTCTTTGACGCTGACTCATGTTTATTTAATTCCAGACTTTGTTTGGTGTTTCTGGCGATGTTTCTGCACGTGTTGGCTTGGCTTTTCCACGGCCGCAAACCTAATGAAAATTCAGCAAAAGCCATGCCGCCAAAAGGCAGACCCACATACATTTACTTGTCTCAGGTGGCAGAGTGGCAAAGTGTCTTGCCACAACAGGCCACCGGAGGGGGCACGTGCCATTGATTAGCACTCGAGTAGCATTTAATATTCATGAGGAGCAGGAGTCGGAGGGAAAGCAGTCTCTGAACGAATTGTCAATCCACAAATTTGTCATATAAAACACCTAAAGGACTAGGTGACTCCCACGGGAACCTCCCAAATGTAGAAAGATGGGCGATTCACCGCCTGGACCACAGACGATTGGGCGGCCGGAATTCTACAAGAAAGTCTACACCATCCTGGTCATTTTCATCGTTACTGGACTCCTGCAGCTGGTGATTGTGAAGGCCTGCGATTATGACTTTTACAGCGGATTTCCAGTATCCAGCACTGTGTGGGTGCTCATCGCCTTGTGGTGCCTGCTGACCCTGCTCTGTGTGCCGGTGACCCACGCCTTTCCGATCACCTATGTGCTCGGAATTATCGCCGCCGAGGCCCTGACACTGAGCGTGCTCAGTCAGGACTTTCTGCTGCTCACGATGGCCTGGACGTATAGTATCCTGGCGGTGGCCGTAATCCTTAGTATTTGCCTCTATGTGATTGGGATTTTTATGCCGCTAAAATTTCTGCCGGGCTCACCAACGATGCTGGGTCTGGGCATTGCGGCAATCATTGTTTTAGCCTCGTTGCTAATCACCCGGATTGCAACCGGGAATGAAGCTATGATGTTCTATTTTAACATCGTGAGCCTGCTGTATTTCATGCTTATCGTCGTCTTTACCATCACCGTTGTCCACGACAGACGTCTGCAGCCCCTGCCCCAAGAGAAACGTATGGTGCCGGTTATCGTTTTGGCTGCCCTTTTCTTCTATATGATCCGCATGATCGCTGTCCTTGTTCTGTATGCTGTGCGCGATCTGAGCATCAAATCTGCAATAAATCCCGGAAAACTACAAAAGAGTTTCTTCCAGAAGAGATATATTCCTGAAATATAGAATCGAATTTCTTGAAATTAAAGCTCTCGTTAAACCTCCTTCTTTCCCTTATCCGTGGCCCAAGACAAACAACACTTTGCTGAAGTGTGCAGATTTTCTGGTCACCAATCGTCGGGATAACATTGTACATGTCCAAGTTTGCTTTAGGCTTTGGGCTTTTAGCGACACAAGTTCTCGTTGAGGCCTTTTTGTCTTGTGTGTTTTATCAGAAGCCCTTCTGGACAAAAGTAAGGGAAACAAACGTAAAGACCTGCGGCACAAATAAATAAATATCCATCCAACACATCTCTACGACTTCCCCCCTCTCTCTCTCTCACACTCTCTCTCGCTGAAATTTCCATGAAATATTTTTAGACTTGAGCTCCTTTCTGCCTTTGTGAACACTTCAGTGAACTTCAATCCTTTGTCGGGGGCCACTCGTCAATTGTAAATTTCCTTCGGGGGATCAAACTTATGTTAATTTCATAAATTCCATTCGCTTTGGATTGCTTTTAATTCTTTAAAAATAGTTGAAGCCCAAGCAGCCAGCAGCCAAAACCCAACAACAAGAAAACAACAATTTTCCTGATAAATGTGCTCGTTATTTTTCATAACCGCAGAACACAGAACAGAACAACACTTTGTTACTGCCGTCAGTGGTTGGTTGCATAATTGCGTGGGAGACTGTGTCTGTGGGAAAAAGAAACGTAGTTCTTGGTATTCTCGTATGACAATTTTTTGTGGTTAAAATATACCTGAATTGTACGGTGAAGTCTCCAATTTGTGAGTATATTTTTGTGCAGGATACATATAAAAACGTATACATATGTACATACATATGTATTTCTTGGGTTTCGAGCAGAATTTCGATCTGTAGTAGTGTCAACAGCAACTGCTTTCCCTCTCTCAGCGACGCAGTTAGCATGTCTCTTTCTAACCCACACTCACTCTCAACGCGCTCTCTCATCATCTGTTGCCTTTTGATCCTCTCTAAGCGAGTCGTCTCTCCCTACGCACTCTCTCTCTCCCTGACACATGCACAGCCAGTGGACAAGAACAAACATGCACAGCAATGGGAAAAAAGGAAACGCAAGATAGCACTGCACAATCTCGCAGGGAATTCGTGAACAGCAAACAGACCAAAATACACTGAGAATTATATTAGGAATCGACAAATAAGCTTATGCAAATGAATCCATTAAAAACCACCGACTAAAGACATACAATTTTGAATTTCAATATCAATGAATATAAATAGACATTTTTAATGAATTGCGGGGGAATGTAATAATGGAAAATTAATTGTTTAAACAACCATCTTCTATTTCACTCCCCGTCTATATTCGCCCCCGCAATCCGTTCGCCTAAAGGGTGGGGGGCGGCCTATTATTTTCCATTGAATTTCGTGAAATGTAATTAAATTTTAATGCCTCCCATTATGTGAATTTGCATTTGGTCAAAAATGCTGCTGATAATTATGTAACCAATTAAGAGTAACCTTCGGCCACGTTGTCATGGCGCAAATATCTCTTGAAATTACTAAGCCGATTCGATATCGATGACAATTTTCACAAATATCAACGGCCTTCTCTTTGTTCAATTATTTCTTGGGTAAATAATTGAAAGAAAAGGAATGTTAAGCTCTCTCTCTCTCATTCAGGTGATATCCTTTTTCGGACGTCTGCTATTAATAAAACTTGAGCAGCTTTTCCAAGTCTGACGAGGGGAGGAAAAACTGGCGGTACTTTTCATGAATGTCAGTTAAATGTCAGACTATTTAGGGCAGGTCCACAGTCTATAATGGAAACCACATCAATTATGGAAAGGTATCAATGTTTTTTCGGGCATGGACATGCGTGTATCTAATTATGGCTTAAAATTTTCAACGAATTACCTAAAATAACTGTTTAATTGGATAACAATTAGGGAAAAATATCCAAGGCTAAAAATATCCTCTTTGAGCGGTTCAAGAGTTAGCCCCGTCCCTCATTCAGAATTCTGGAAGCACTTTTATATTCCGGCAATCACCTCTGGCGAGCCATGCCATTAAAAATGCCTCCGCATCAAACCGTGACTTTCCCGGATGCTTTCGGGCGACATGCAATTGAACAAATAAATCTGTGGGCTAATAAATTTTTAGCAACGCCTGAAGTAGAACCCAAGCGACGAAAGCCAGCTGTGGAGCCAGCATACCATGCCATAAATGCTGTCGTCTGGGCCATTAAGGAAGCCTTCTCCTACTCGACAGCCAGCCACTTTTCCATCGGAGAGAAGGAGGTCCTTCCCAGTATCGCTTGTCGGAGCTGTGTTTGTGCCTGATTTTCAATTGAATTATATCGTACCGCACTGCGTGTACGTGCTAGCTCTTCCTGGGTTCCTACGCTTGCTATTGCCTTAAATTGTGCCTTAAATTGCCCGCTGCTGTGTATGTACATATGTATATGATTAAAAGCCATTTTTAGCACCTGTTCGGGCTGTTCATTTTGCATCGCGGGCTTTAATTGCAATTTATTTTTTATGCCATGCAATTGGATTATTTATACATGAGAGCATAAGCTATTTCGAAGCCTCTTTTTACATGAATATGAAGCTGCAGTTTTGTATAGATCTTGTAGTAGTTTGTTTGAATGGTTCTTAGTTGTTTATTAAAGCAATTGTCCATGAAAATTTACCGCTTTATCGATTTCATGTTGCACTCATTCAACAGTTGACTTTTATTTTATTTTAAAGAAACTTTGTGGAAATTTATGTAATGTTTTGCTGTTTTCTTTTTTCGCTTTGACAAAACGAAATGGAAACCAAAATAAAAACCGCACACATATGCTTTTTCCAGACAACAATAGATTTAATTAAAGTTTAATTCTTCTTTTGTTTAGTCGATGACCGTCTACCTATAGAATGTACGACAGTAATCCATCAGATATTAGGGAACAGAGCTTTTGCTTGCTTCCTTTAGCTCATGGAAGATTTTTCATTATTTTCTTTTTCCTTCTAATTGCTTAATCCCTTCAAGAGCCGACCTACATTCAAAGGAAATTTTTCATTTTTTCTTTCCTTAATTATGTTCAAGAATTTTCTTGTTTCGCCCCATGCCATGCCATGCCCCTTTGCCATGCGAAAAAGGATTGTACTTGCTGCACCTTAAGAATGGAAGGCAAAATGCTGATAACAAACACAGGGGGGAAAGCCGCAAAGTACGGGGACTAAAAACAATCACAACTCTGATTAAAAAAACGAGAAAGTTGACCCAGAGAAGCCCTGCAGAAAAATTCTCCAACGTGTCAAAGGGAACAATGCATCCAAGGGCTGATTTCAGATTTCATTCTGGATTTTTCTTTCGAATTTCCCTTCGTGGTATTGCTTTAACTTTTGTCGGAGTTCTGCTTCTTAAATTTAATGCATTTTATTCGCAGAAAAGTCAAAATTAAAGTTATTTCCGGGAAATGATTGACATCGGTGCTCATTTCCAGGAACACCTTTGCAGATTAAATTATTCCAGTCAATTGCACAAGCAACTGCACTTGATTGTCATTGATACATGTCTTAATTGGATTTCCCGGAATCGCAGATGTCAGCAAAATGTATGCCTTTGCATTTGGGGTTTGCCGGTTAACCCTGCTGGTTGCAGTGAAGGCCTGAGATTGATCTGAGAGAGTTAAAGTATTGCCTACAAAAAACCAATATCGACTAGACACTCCTGTCACAATTATTGGAGTGTATCACAAATTGCGTTGAACACAAAATCAATCACAAAGATTTTAATCCGCATAGCCAAGAGTCTTCATAGCCGCATACTTCCCATGTTACGACTCCATGTGGGCAAAAATGCACCCAAGTACTACAAGGGCAATTGGTCCTTTGACTCGAAGAAGGACGCCCTGAATTTTGAGCCGTACCACGATCTGGAGGATGTCGAGGAGCGGTACATATCCACGAATTCCTTCAACTTTCTCCGAACCATAACCCAGGAGGAAGAGCTTGTTTTTCGGCATGTTTACGGAAGAGACGATACGACTTACGATACCAGAGCTGTGGAGCTCAACGATATACGCGATCTAGTACTGTTTTTAATGCCAAGTGAGTTTCTGAGACCCAAATTCGTCGAATTCATGCACCACCAGGCGGTGTATCACCTCCTTCATTCGCTGACCATCTACTTTGAGTACTACCTCCGGATGGTGGAGTTCGTACTGATACGACGGGATGAAATTTCCGGCGAAACGGCCCAGATTCAGAACGAACAAACGAATGATGTGAAGCGGGTATTCTCTGTATATTTGAGTCAATATCGAATGCTCGTGGCCCGCAATTACAGTGTTATCATCAAGGGCGAAGGCGACTTGGAAAAGTTCTACCACATGAAGAAGCTCGTCAACATTTCGCAAAGCATTTGGGACAAGAACTTCCACGAGCAGTTACTCGCATGCAGCACTCAGATCGTGTGGATTGCCATGCATCGCAGGGCCTACAATGTCATCGAAATGGAGATGAATCGCCTGTTTTGTTCCGAGCACTTTGTCACGGCTCGAGCTGGGTATCCTATCTTCACGCCAGCAGAGAAGAGTCTCCTGTATGGACGGAACTCCAGGATTATGAACTATCGCCAGCAGGTGTCGCCCCTCATTCAGGAGTTGCAAAAACCCAACAACGAGGACTTGCCCATTCTGTGGATTGGGAAGCGCAAGTATCGTGGCACTGATATTCGCATAATGGAGATGGAGCTGGAGTACATTGTGCCAGGACCCCAGTTGCGTCTGATCGACGTGGCCCATGGTATTTTGGGGCACCCCAGGAAGCTTTACAACACCATCCTGGAGCTCCACTGGCCCTCTGTGCGCTACTCGAACTTCTCCAAGCATCACGACCCCTATTTCATCGTTCGACAGCCCCTTCTGAAGATCCCCAAGATGGATGAAATGAAAAGGCGACAAATGGCGGAGACCTACGAAAGTTTCTACAAAATCAAGGAGATAAACGATCATCCCTCCCGTGCAATCTATTTAAAGTGGGTGAAACGCGACAAACTCATCAATGATTATCGTTCTGGAGTCCTACTTACGAGTACCTTACTCCGAGCCGAGAACGAGTTGAACAGCACGAGCCTCAGGCCCAACGTCGATCAGATTATTGCCGACTACAAGAAGAGTGTGGCCAAGAATCGCAAGCGTTAAATTTTGTTTTCTTCATTTGCTTCATTGATTGGTTTCGCTTTTTATTTTTTATTTAAATATTGTAGGAGTTTTCTATCTCAAATGAAATATAAATATATAATATATATCGGTCGTATACTTTATTTCCTTTAAATGAAAATTTAAAATGAAAGTAATCCCCCGGAAACCATTGACTACGCTGCGCATTTCCGGAAACAATTTTTCAAGTAAAATTATTCCATACAAATGCACAAGCGAAAGCATTTGATAGAAGATGTTTTCCCGATGAAATCATTGGGACATGATTTAATTGGATTTCCAGCAGTCACAGGTGTGAGCAAAATGTAGTAAGAGCCTGAACGAATCAAAGAAGGAGTAAAAGATTACAAAATTCAACAAAAAATCTATAAAAGTGTAGGAAAAGGGTATTAATAGTCAGGCAGTAGCAATGTAAGTTCCCGTTGGTTATTTCTGCTGGTTGCTTAGAGGGAACAGAAAGAACAGACGAGCGAATCCAACAAGATAGCGAAAATGTGCGTGTGAGCATGTGAGCATGTCTCATTTTAATGAATCTCAATCTCAACGAATGAACGCTTGTTTATCGGAACGGATCTATAATGAAACCTGTTCCTGAAGACCATTCGTGGCAAATTGTTTGCCAATGCCGTCAGGAACTGAATCGATCTGATTTTAAAAATGGCCCTTAGACTAGACACTAGTGTCACAAGTATTCGAGTACATCTCAAACTGCTTTGAACACAAAATAAATCACAAACATTTGCTTCTGCATACACAAGAATCATCATAACCGCATCCTTACCATGTTACGCCTGCACGTGGATGACTATTCGCCAAAATACTACAGTGGCAAATGGTCCTGGGACTGGAAGAAGGACGCCCTACACTTTGAGCCGCACAATGATCTATCAGATGCCAAGGAGCGGTACATCACCACGAATTCCTTCAAGTTTCTCCGAACCATGAACCAGGAGGAAGAGCTCGTTTTTCGGCATGTTTTCGCAAGAGCCGATACGACTTACGATACCAATTCGGTGGTGCTCAACGATATACGAGATCTAGTACTGTTTTTCATGCCAAGTGAGTTTCTGTCATACAAATTTGTTGAATTCATGCACCATCGGGCGGTGTATCACCTCCTTCATTCGCTGACCATCTACTTTGAGTACTACCTCCGAATGGTGGAGTTCGTAATGATACGACGAGATGAACTTTCCGGACAAATGGGCCAGATTCAAAGCGAGCAAACGAATGATATGAAGCGGGTATTCTCTGTATATTTGAGTCAATATCGGATGCTCGTGGCACGCAACTACAGCATAATCGTCAAGGCAGAAGGTGACTTAGGAAAGTTTTACCACATGAAGGTGGTCAACATTTCGGCCACCATTTGGGAGAAGAACTTCCACGAGCAGTTACTCGCATGCAGCACTCAGATCGTGTGGATTGCGATGCATCGCAGGGCCTACAATATCATCGAAATGGAGATGAATCGCTTGTTTCGCTCCGATCACTTTGTCACGGCTCGAACAGAGTATCCCACCTTCTCGCCAGTGGAGAGGAGCCTCCTTTACGGACGGAGCTCCAAGAACATGAACTATCGCAAGCAGGTGTCGCCCCTCATTCAGGAGTTGGAGAATCCCAAGGAGGAGGACCTGCCCATTCTGTGGATCGGAGAACGCAAATATCGTGGCACTAACATTCGCATAATGGAGATCGAGCTGGAGTACATTGTGCCGCCACCGCAACTCCGCCTGATCGACGTGGCCCATGGTATTTTGGGGCATCCCAGGAAGCTCTACAACACCATCCTGGAACTGGATTGGTCTGCGGTGCGGTACTGCAACTTATCGATGAAACATGACCCCTATTTCATGGTTCGACAGCCCCGTCTTAAGATCCCCAAGATGGATGAAATGAAGAGGCACCAAATGGCGGAGACCTACGAAAGTTTCTACAAAATCAACGAGATATACGATCTTCCTTCCCATGCCATCTACTTAAAGTGGGTGAAACGCGACAAACTCCTCGAAAACTATCGTGCTGGAGGCCTGCTTACGAGTAACTACCTGCGAGCCGAGAACGAGTTGAACAGGACGAGCCTCGGGCCCAGCGTCGATCAGATTATTTCCAACTACAGGAAGGCCATGGTCAAGCATCGCAAGCGTTAAATTGTTTTTCCTTCAATTCCATTTTCATGGTTCAGCATATTCGTTGTATGTTTCGTGTCTATTTGTATACTTTTTATATATTTGCATGGGAAAACTAATTTTAAAAGGAAACAATTAATTCCGGCAATTAATAAAACAATGATGGTGGAGTAAAAGGCTTTCCTTTGACTAAAAAAAACCCAAACCCACACCCACACAATGACGCCAATTAAAAATACAATGCAAACAGCATTACGCATGTGGAAAGGCCACAAAAGTGCGGGTGGGCCGCCTGTGGTAGGCTTCACTGTGAGCCAACTTTAAGCATGGAGTTGCCGGTGGCGATTTCTTTGTTTTTCTTTTGAGGTTTTCGCATAAATTTATCCACAAGAAGCTCATAAATTCTAGCCTATTTAATGGCATTATGAGAGACTGAAGCGTTGGCGTTTAATGAGCAGGGATAACGAATTCACTCTGGGCTAAGGATAGAATTTTCCCTGCAGCTAAAAAAACTTCAGATTAAATTACTAAAACAGGAAGTTCCTTTCTGAGTTCTGAGTTCTGACTTCTGGCTGATGATTTGAGAAACAGCTCGAGGAAAACTCAATTACCATCTTTGTTTGAAGCACAAAAATAACTCCTCCTTTGTAGGGTCCCAATAAATTATTCCAACAAATGGCCAAGAGATAAAACTAAACGGTTGATGGCAGTCGGTCCCAAGAGTTGCCATAAAAAAAGGAGAAAGCTTTCTGGCATAAATGTTGACTATAATGAAAGCTCTTAAAGGCACAGCAACACTCTCTTGAGAACATAATTTGGCTATGTAATGTTGAATAATTCTTTGAAAAAGACGTAATATTTAATGGGTGAAACATTAAATTATAAAGGGAATACTTCTTTAAGCCAACAAATGGACCTTCATCTAAATTTCTACCCAAAACTTCCTCTGTAGAAGTTCTTTCATAACTTTTCTGACACTTGTATGCAAATCGGAACAAAATCTGCGAGCAAACAAAAATTTACCAACAAGTCCAACTTTTTGTCCGTTCTGTGGGTTAAATAAAGTTTGATAGCGGAGACTGGAAGGGAATGGTATATTCGGGCCACTCTTAAAATGTTTTTAATCTTTTCCACTATGAAAATTTTCCGTTTGGGTTAACACCTGTATTCCACTCTCCAATGTTGGAGCTACAGGAGTTATTATTTATCTAGTTACATTTCCACACACCGCCTATCATTGTGAGTACATTTCAAATTCTCCACACAATTCAGAGACACAACACGTACAAGTGACACAACTCCTTCCGTAATCGTAATTTTCGGCTTGCGATGAAGCGCGTCCACGTGGATAACTATGCGCCCAAGTACTACAGCGGCAAGTGGTCGTGGGACTCGAAGAAGGACGCCCTACACTTTGAGCCGCACAACGATCTGTCGGATGCCAGGGAGCGATACATCACCACGAATACCCACAAGTTTATGCGCACCATAAACCAGGAGGAGGAGCTGATCTTTCGCCAGGAGTTCGTTCGGTCTGAGAGTAGCTTCGATAATGACACAGTCGTGATATACGATATACGCGATCTGGTGCTGTTTCTGATGCCGACTGAGTTCCTAACTTACAAATTTGTCGAGTTCATGCACAAGCCGGCTGTGTATCGACTGCTCCATTCGCTGACCATCTACTTTGAGTACTACCTCCGGATGGTGGAGTTCGTACTGATACGACGGGATGAGCTCTCTGGCCAAATGGCCCAGATTCAGAGCGAGCAAACGAATGATATGAAGCGGGTATTCTCTGTATATTTGAGTCAATATCGGATGCTGGTGGCCCGCAACTACAGTGTGATCATCAAGGGCGAGGGCGACATGGGGAAGTACTACCACATGAAGGAGATCGTCAACATTTCGGCCACCATTTGGGACAAGAACTTCCACGAGCAGTTCCTCGCATGCAGCACTCAGATCGTGTGGATTGCGATGCATCGCAGGGCCTACAATGTCATCGAAATGGAGATGAATCGGCTGTTTCGCTCCGAGCACTTTGTCACGAGTCGTCCGGAGTATCTGAGCTTCACACCGGCGGAGCGGAGTCTTCTGTATGGCCGCAACAGCAAGATCGTCAATTATCGCACTCAGGTGTCGCCCCTCATCCAGGAGCTGCAGCACATTCAGGCGGAGGACCTGCCCATTCTGTGGATTGGGGAGCGCAAGTATCGTGGCACTGACATTCGCATCATGGAGATGGAGCTGGAGTACATTGTGCCGGGACCCCAGTTGCGTCTAATCGACGTGGCCCATGGTATTTTGGGGCATCCCAAGAAACTCTACAACACCCTCCTGGAGCTCGATTGGCCCTCTGTGCGCTACTCGAACTTCTCCAAGCATCACGACCCGTATCACATCATTAGGCAGCCCCATTTAGACATCCCAAAGATAGATGCTATGAAGATGCGCCAAATGACCGAGCAATATGAGCACTTCTACGAAATCCACAACCTATTCGAGACGTGCCATCGCCAGGTGATCTTCAAATGGCTGCGTCGCGAGAAGATCATCAAGTTCTATCGCTCTGGGGGTCTGCTCACGAACATCGTCTCGCGCTGCGAGAAGGAGCTGGCCACCACTGCGCATGGACCCCGCGTGGATCAGATAATCGCCAATTACTTCAAGGTCAAGAGCCGCCTGCGCAAGGAAGCGCAAAGCAGAGAAGGAGATGATGACACCGTGGCTTCCGGCCGCATCGGAAATAATTCGCCCAAAGAAAAGAACCAGGTCGCGGATATGTTTTACGATTAACATTAACCTGATTCGGGCATCAGGGTTTCTTTGAGTTTAGTTTCAAATTATTTGTTATTCAGAAAAGGGAAGAACTTTTAGTTTCGAACCAAAAATGATCAAAAATATGTCGGCTGTTATCCCAACGATTTCCGTTCCCAGAAGTCTTGGCATCTGATTCCATATCGTTTTAAAAGCCATTATTTTTTCCCATCCTTAAGCTCCAGCCCATTTGCCGCAAAGATTAACGAAATCCTATAAAAAAGTTGTATACAATTTTAGATTATAGTAAAGTATTAAATCCACACCAAGATCCAATAATGGCTAGATCTGATCATATATGTATGAATGGAAAATTTTCGTTTGAAACAAAATGTTGATACTAAATGGAATAGACTTTGTATCGAAAAATCGTATTAAAAATTCAAAAATAGTGTTCAATAAATACCTTGGAATAGTTTGATTCTCTGGATCTCTATAAACATCTCTAGTGGCGATTGCAGACTTTTCTTTCCCACTGTTTTGAGATGCCATCAGCTGTTCTTCAGATAAGATTATCGAGGAGGGAAATCTGCCGGCGCCTCCTAACAGTCGCTCGAGAGAAGTTGTTCCGTTCAGTCCGAAAGTCTTTTGTTCCGAATCATGTCTGTGCCGCCATATTTGCACTTTACCCAAATCGGGGATCCAGTACTCCGTCAAATAGCGGAGGAAGTGCCGCCCGAAAGCATTGGCACCGTCGAGATCGATCAGATCGTGGATCGCATGGTAAAAGTATTGCGTCACTATGACTGCGTGGGCGTGGCAGCACCCCAGGTGGGAGTGCCACTTCGGATCATCGTAATGGAGTTCCGTGAGGGCAAGCAAGAGCAATTCAAGCCAGAGATCTATGCAGAACGCAAAATGTCAACGCTTCCCTTGGCGGTGAGTCTCTGTAATCTCTGTTGTTATTTAATTAGTCTAAAAATACGTCTATAAATCATATGCACCTTAGGTGTTTATAAATCCGGAGCTCGAGATAACCAGTAGCGCTGTAAACAAACATCCCGAAGGCTGTATGAGTGTTAGAGGCTACTCGGCCCAGGTGGAGCGCTACGAAAGGGTGCGCATCAAGGGAATTGGAAAGCTGGGAACTCCTTCCGAGATGGAGCTGGAGGGCTGGAACGCGCGCATTGCCCAGCACGAGGTGGATCACTTGAATGGCAAGATCTATGTGGATCGCATGGATGTTTCCACCTTTAATTGCCTCAGCTGGCAGCAGATTAACGCCGCCGAAGGACGTTCCGCCATTTGGTTTCACAAATAAAATAAAATGTTAAACACTTGCTTTTGTTGTAACTTGTCTAAAAAAAGGTTTTAGCGAAAATGGGCAAACAAAAAAAAACGAAAGAGGGTACTCGTTCCTATTGATGAATTTTGGTATTCCGTCGAATATTATTAGCTAGATAGAACATTTAGCCATGCCCAACTAGTTTTATACGATCGTTGAATCAATTTTCTACTTAACTGGTTTATTCTAAATACTTGCTTTTATTGCATTTTGCGTAAAAAAAGGTTTCGGCGAAATAGGTCAAACACAAACAAGGTTGTAGCTAAATACGTCAAGAAAAACAAACGAAAGGGATATTCGTTCGTATTGCTCAATTTAGAGATTCCGTTGAATTATTCTGGCTAACTAAAACCCTTAGTTTTGCCCAAGTTATTTTAGGCCATTGATGAATAAATTTTCTACAAGATTGTCCTGCTTTTAGTCCTTGCTTTTATTGTATTTTGACTAAAACATTTTGACTTAAACCAAAAAGTAAAAAATAGTGGTATTTAAAAACATGATGCGTGTATATGTCTTTGTATACCCTATTTCGTTAATTTAATATGAAGGTCTATTCTTGGTCTCTGTAGGAGGACAATAAACTGCAAAATATCGTTGAAATAGCTTTAAAACAGAGACTAAATTGTTTTTGCATTAATTGGAGCCTGGGATGACAAACATTTTCTGAATTCTATAATATCTTTCTCCCTAGGGTATGAAAATTAGTGTTGCCGCAACTTTTGTGCATGGAATGAGACTAGTGATGAGAGCACCTCAAAAATACCGACTTTGGTATTTTCTATCAGCTGGGAGAACTTAATAAAATTAACTGGTTCACAAGCTCACAACGGTATCGATCCATCCCTGCGGTCAGCTGTTGTTGTTTACTAAAATCTACGCGAAAATGCTGCTTAGGCAACCGGCAAACCTTTATAAGTCCATTATTGGAGCCCGCCGCAACCTCAGCACGGGTCTGCCCTCTGCCCAATCATTTAGGAAATGGTATCAACAACTGTGGACAACGGAGCGTACCAATCTGCCGCCCTACAACCACTTTACACAAATCGGGGATCCTGTGCTCCGGCAACAGGCGGCTGCCGTGCCTCTGGAGCTCATCGAGGGTCCCGAAATCGAAGCCATTGTTGAGCAAATGGTCAAGGTACTCCGGAAGTACAACTGTGTAGGTATAGCCGCGCCACAGATTGGCGTTTCCCTCAGAATCATCGCCATGGAGTTCAAGAAGAGCCTGCAGAAGGAGATGCCAGAGGCCGTATACCAGGCGCGTCAGATGTCGGAGCTACCACTGACCGTAAGCGTGTAATATAAACCTTACTACCATCTGTAACTCCCTCCACTTGCAGGTCATGATCAATCCCGTGCTGACGGTGACAAATTACTCGAAACTGAAACATCCCGAGGGCTGTATGAGTGTCCGTGGCTTTTCCGCGGAAGTGGAACGCTTCGAGGGAGTGAAACTTAGCGGCCTGGACAAGAGTAGCAAGCAAAATGATCTCATATTGAGTGGCTGGAACGCACGTATTGCCCAGCACGAGATGGATCACTTAGACGGCAAGCTGTACACGGATCAAATGGATCGTTCGACCTTCTCTTGCACCTGCTGGGAGGCTGTGAATACCAAGTCCGGACGCGTGGAGATACCATTTTACAAATAATTTATGGTATTGTTTTTTAATTAACTAAAATATTGAACCAGTTTTAAAGGAAAGGCCGTGCGTTGGCACTAATCCCCTAATTTGGGGGGCGCAAATTTGATTAGATTCTTGTTGGCCAGCTCTAGAACCGTTTTGACCTTGAAGTACTCCTTGCAATTCCACAGCTCGTGCTTATCCATCACATAGGTGAACAGATCGTTCATCTCGCGCTTCAGGTGACGATGCGCCTCCGCCAGCTTTGTGTGCAGCTCCAGAACCACCTTGTGGAGGTTCTCCTTGGCAGCAGTCCGGTTCTTCTGGTACTCCTCCTCTTCCCCCAGATTGACAGCATCCTCCTGCATGGTCTGATTGTGCCAATCCGTCCAGCGCTGCAGCAGAACCTTTCCCAAATAGTTGACTATGCCCCCGCGCAAGATGAACTGCCGTATGACCGGATGAGTATTACCAGCTGCGTCCCGATAGGCGGCTTCCCCATTGATGGGATGGGACTTCTTATCCATTCGCTCGTCCTCAAATGTGAAAAGGGTCTCCATACCCAACTCATACTGTTTGAACAGAAAGGGTTTCCGCTCCATTCCGTCTTACTATTGTTTGCTGTCCAAAAATATTTCCAAAATTTTACTGTGCTCTGTTTCCTGTTGACGAACGAGGCAGGACAGATGTTGAAAGACTTCAAGCAAACCCCTGAGGCAGTTTTCACAGCTAAAGCAAATATTACTAATCAAATCTGTACAGGCATCGAGTAGAGATTTCTTGAAAATCATCTTTATATTTACTTTTAAAACTTATTTCTAAATCATTTTATATACAGACATGTACGTGATAGGATTTGAATTTAAACAAAAGCCGCGGTTATATAGATACATATATCGGTATCAAAGACACAACAAAAACAACGGTACATTTGAAAAACTTGGAATTTTTATAGTCAAATGCAAAAGAGTTATGCAGGATCCAAACGTACATCCTATGTCTTGGATTTTGACAGAGTTCTCCCTAGAATAGACCCTCGATCTGTCCCGTCTCCGTGTTCAGATCAATGTCATAGATGGCCGGGCGCGTGGAGAGACCTGGCATTTTGGTAATCTCCCCGCACATGGCCACCACAAAGCCAGCTCCAGCCGAGACATAGACATCCTCCACGTCCAGTGTGAAGCCCTTGGGGGCTCCCTTGATTTTGGCATCACCGCTCAAGGAGCCCGACGTCTTGGACATGCAGATGGGAAGATTGCCAAAGCCCTGGAGGGGAAAAAAAGGTATCTCAGAAGGTGTTTTGAAGGAGCATCTTCAGTGGATTGTTGCACTTACCGCCTCTGTCAATCGCTTGACCTTCTCTTGGGCGTTTGCCGAGAGCACCACCTTGCCAGCACCGTACATGGTCGTCGCAATCTTCGTCATCTTGTCCAGCAGCGGCAGTTCCAGATCATAGAGCAGCTTGAAGTTGTTTCCTTTTTCGCAGGCCTTGATCACGGCATCCGCAAGCTCCACAGCGCCGGCGCCACCATCGGACCAGTGGGTGGACACAACGGCAGCAAATGCACCAGCCTTCAGAGAGGCGCTCTTGAGGAGTTCATGCTCCGCCTGGGTATCGGTGACATGGACATTGATGCAGACAACCACTGGCATGCCGAAGGCCTGGCCATTGGCGATGTGCTGCAGCAGATTAGGCAGACCCTTCTCCAGCAGCTCCAGATTCTCCTCGGTGTACTGCTTGTTCAGGGGCGCTCCGGGAGTGACCGGCGCTCCGCCGCCATGCATTTTGATGGCCCGAACGGTGGTCACAAGGACCACAGCATTGGGCTTGCGTCCGGAGGTGCGGCACTTGATGTTGCAGAACTTCTCCATGCCAATGTCGGAGCCGAAGCCGGCCTCCGTGCACACAAAACCATCCTTGCCGACCAGCTTGAGGCCAATCTCGTCGGCGATGATGGAGTTGCAGCCATGGGCGATGTTGGCAAAGGGTCCAGCATGCACCAGCACCGGAGTACCCTCCAGACTCTGCATCAGATTCGGCTCCAGGGCGTCCTTCAAGAGCACAGCGAGAGCACCAGTCACGCCCAGGTCATCAGCGGTCACGGGCTTGCCCGATCTATCGAAAGCCACCACCATGTCGGCGAGCCGATGCTTCATGTCCTTCAGGCAGCGGGAGAGCGCCAGCACGGCCATGATCTCGCTGGCCACCGCAATGGAGAAGCGTGTCTCGCGCGAGATGCCCTTTTCCGTGGGAGACTGGCCCACCGTAATGGAGCGGAGGTATCGATCGTTGATGTCCACCACGCGCTCCCACATGATCGTCTCCGGGTCGATGTCCAGGCGTGCAAAGGCACCGTACTCCTCCTCTGTCAGCGCATCCGGATCGGTCTTCTCAATGCCCAGACGCTTCAGGCGACGCAGCTGGATGGGCGAGAACTTGCGCTGACCCTTGATCCTTGGCACCAGGCGCTCATACAGTGCCTTGTCCTTCTGCGTGCACTCGTGGAAGATGCGCGTGTCCAGCTGTGCGGCCAGCAGATTATTGGCCGCCGACACCGCATGAATATCGCCCGTCAAATGGAGATTGAACTCCTCCATGGGTATGACCTGGGCGTAGCCGCCGCCCGCCGCGCCACCCTTGATGCCAAAGGTGGGTCCCTGCGAGGGTTGTCGCAGGGCAGCGATTACATTCCTCTTCTTATGTGCGCCAAGTGCCTGGACGAGGCCCATCAATGAGGTGCTCTTGCCCTCACCCAAAGGTGTGGGTGTAATACCCGCCACCACCACATAGCTGCCCGCCTCCTTGTCAGCCAGACGGTCGAGCACCGAAAGCGAGATTTTGGCCTTTTTGTTGCCATACAGCGACACCTCGCGCGACTCCAGGCCGATCTCCTTGGCCAGCAAAGCAATGTCCTTGGGCTTCTGCCCGCGGGCAATCACAATGTCACTGGGTACTGGCCTCAGGGGCTTCAATGGCAGCGGCTCCAGTGTCCATTGGGTGCGCATCTGGCGATCCAGGGCCCTGGCCGCCGAACGGACGGTGTTCTTCATCAGCATGGCCACGGTCATGGGTCCAACGCCGCCAGGCACGGGTGTGATATGTCCAGCAACCTTCTTCGCCTCTTCGTAGTCCACGTCGCCCACCAGACGGCTGCCGCTGGCCTTTGAAGGGTCTAAACGAGGATTAAAGGATTTCTGGGATTAGAATGGGAATCCAGAAGAAGTCGATGGATTTCCATAGAGCGCTATTTCTAGACTAAAACCCGCAACAAAATTGTAATCCAGAATCATGCATCTTATCTGTCGATGTGGACCCCCAGGGCGGGTCACTGCGGGGTCATTCGCACTGATAAGGTATACAGGGGAAACTGATCAACAAGTGGCAACGATAGAAATGCATTTGGTAAAGGAAAATTCCAAGGGAAGGCATAGATTGAATCATTATGTTTAGGAGGGTATAGAGATCCATCCTTATAGGAAAATGTATCAAAAACATTCATAAATTTAAAGAGGAATATCTAATGAGGTATATAAAACACTTATCCCAGAAGAGACAACCCATCATAGCCCCTCAAAAAAAAAGGTGTCCTTCCTCACCTGGCTTCACATTAATGCCACAATCGATGACCACCGCACCGGGCTTTATCCACGATCCCTTGACCATCTCGGCGACGCCGATGCCCACCACTAGGATGTCCGCACTCCTTGTGATCTCCTCGATGTTACGCGTCTTCGAATGGCACACCGTCACCGTGGCATGGGCCCACTTCAAGAGCTCTGCGGCAGGTGTACCCACGATTTTGCTGCGACCCAGGACGACGGCTCTGGCGCCAGAAATCTCCACGCCTGCGCGACGAATGAGCTCGATGCAGCCCCAGGGAGTGCAGGGCAGGAAGCCGCCAAGATCCCCGATGGCCAGCCGACCCTCGTTGACGGTGTGGAGGCCATCCACATCCTTTTCGGGCGCCACGGCGTCCGTGATGCGATGCGAATCGATGGGGGAATCGCAGTCCAGTGGCATCTGCACGATGATGCCATGCACTCGGGGGTCGTCGTTCAGATCGTTTATCTACAAAATGAAAATTTCTTTGGGTTCCGTTTCCCGTTGCATAATCCACAATCGATAACCCACCTTATCGAGCAGCTCCACTTCGGTGATGGTGCGGGGCAGCTGTACGTGGACCGCCTCGATGCCAATCTCCGTGGCCGCCTTGACCTTCATGCGAATGTAGACATTGGAGTCCTCGCGTCCGCCCACCTGAACGATCCTCAGTCCAGGCGTGAACTTTGGCAGCAGCCTCGTCATGGAGGTCACCTCACCGCGCAGCTCCTCGCGTATATTTCTGGCAGTAGAAAGGGCGTAATGATTGGTGGAATGATCTCTCAGGGATCTCTCTGGGACTCACTTGGCCACGGCCGTGCCCGATATGATCTTGGCCTCGTTGCTCATCTTCCTAGCCGGCTCGTCTCTCCGCTGAACACCGCTGAAACAACGCACAAGGTTTCTTAGTCCGGGAACCCAACAACTTTGACGCCTCACTAGCGACGCCAATACGATCGATTCGCGCAATGAAACTCGACTGAGCGGCCTGCCACCAATGGCAGTCCTATCTATAGGCTCCAGGTGCCTCTCCCTACTCTGGGATCAAGCCATGCTCTCGCTCTCCGTCTCCTATCACCCGCTACCCGCTTATCAGCGCCTTTAGTAGTAGATTAGTAGGTTTCAGGTTCCGTGGGTCACATCTTTCGATTGCCAGCCGTAAATAACACCATTATGTGACGTCTGTGCAGGGGCTCTAAGAGCCACAACATGATCCATTCCGGCACAAGGAAAAAAACCGCAAAAGGGAGTAGGAAATCATGGTATAAGATGGATTACCAGGAACGTCGCTTGCGAAAGTAATTTCCATATCAAATCTTATCGTTGGAGGGGTGGGAACTTTTGAAATGATTGTTGAGGTGTTACGAAATGGGGAAATGTTTACTATGGGAACGATTGGTAGCATGCTAAGAAATATGTGAATACCTATGTGCATAGGTAAGATATGAGGGGAGAAATAAGTTAATTGAAAAGAAAGAGGTCCAAAAACCACGAAAACAAGAAATACTTATAAAAATTAAGTACAAGTATTCCGTTTCCATAACAAGTTATAAAAGATCTAAGCATTTTCAACAAATATTTAATATATTTTTGTGTTTAACATATATTTTAACCCCGATCTTTAGCATGCAACCCACTGTAAGGCGGAACACTTGTACCTGCCACAATTAACAGCGTTTTCCTAATCTGACTAAACAAAAAGAAAAAAAGAGCTCAAACAATTCTGCACGAAGGCAAACAGAATAGAACCTCAGTAAATAGCATGAAACCAGTCCTTATCAGCAAGGTGTTAATTGGTTGGACCGATAAGCTATCCCCTATTCTATGCTCTCCTCATAGAACTCTTGGGGCGCACTAATCTTAACAGCTGCCCGCAGCTTGGCCGAACGACTGCGACTATTCCGGGAGACCTCTTCGGGGTCTGGCACAATGACATGCCGATGGAGCTGCCGCCAGTGTTTTTCGTTCAGGGATTGAAGCATTTCGGGATCATCGATGAGCTCGTGACTGGAGTACTTCAGGGGCAGGGGATTAGCTGCGCCAGCGACGACATGCCCATTGATGTGCCGCTTGACAATGGTGTCCTCCAGGGAGTGAAAGGTGATGGTAACCAGGCGACCATCGAGGCGCAGCATTTCGTTGGCCAGCAGCATGCCGTAGTTGATTTCGTTGAGCTCGTTGTTCACGAAGATGCGCAGCGCCTGGAACGTCTTGGTGGCCGAGTGCGCCGGGCGCTGCAGCTTGTCCTTGCGCGGGCCACTGTCGAGGGCATCCTCCACGAGGTTCGCCAGCTGTCGCGTCGTCTCAATCTTGATCATTGCGTTGCGGGCATCCACTATGTATCTGGCAATCTTTTTGGCTGCCTTTTCCTCGCCGTAGATGCGCAGAATCTTGACCAGATCTCCTTCGTCAACTTTGGCCAGAACATCAGCGGCACTCAGGCCGCCACTGAGACCCCCATCCATGCGCATGTCCAGCGGCCCATCGTGGGAGATGGAGAATCCCCGAGCCGCCTCATCGAACTGCATGGAACTGCAGCCGAAATCAAAGAGCATGCCATCAATCGAGTTCTTGGCCAGGTTCTGCTCCGCAAAGAGTCGTGGGATGTCGGAGAATTTCCCGAGCAAAGGGATAATCCGCCCCTTGTATTCCTCCGTTTCGCTCAGATCCTGCGCCAGCTGGTAGGCCACTGGGTCCCGATCCAAGGCGTAGACTTTGGCATCGGGCAGGGTATCGAGGAGTCGTCGCGTGTGACCCCCTGCCCCGAAGGTCATGTCGAAGAAGGTTCTGCCGGGTGCCCCCTTCAAGTACTCGATGGCTGTGTCGCAGAGTACAGGCACATGGGGAGCGGCGCCAGTAGGAGGAGCGGCAGCTGTTGCTGTGTTGGTGTTGTGTCTTAGATATTCTAGCCTTATTCTAGTGGGGATTAGGAGGCGCTTGAGCATGATGGTTATTTCTTCTTTGAGCCCGCTCCGTCGTTGAGATACTGCAGGAACTCGGAGCTCAACACCTGACTGCACTGTGCGGCCGTCAGTCCAGTGGCCGTTGATTCGTGGCTGCGTGGATACTTCTTGGCGTACACGTTGTTCGACAGCCGCTCCAGCGCCTCAATCTGTCGGTCCAGATCCTTGTCCGCTTCGCTATTTAGGCTGGTTGAGAATCGAGTAACTTGTTTGCGAATCTGCTCCCCGAGATCCCTTTTATGCGGATTAGAGGATAGAGAAAGTGTTTTATTGGAGAGGCAGCAAATGGAACTTTGTATGGTTTTGTGGCAGATGTTCGTTCCAAGCAGCACGACTGGTGTTTGGGGCAGGGGTTGGGGCTATTCCTGGGAAAGAAATCGAAGCTAAAAGTAATGGGAAACCGCAGAGAAAAAAGAGGAGCGAAAGCTACAGCCTAAGGAAATCTTTTAGCCAGAATTCAGGACCATCCCTAGATTCCACCACTCACTGGACCTCTGCACCATCTCCAAAGAGATATTCCTCTGGGATTAGCTGATAGGAAAACTTTGAAGACATTTTTGAAGGCAAGAAAAATACACTTGAAGCTCGACCAAACCAAACGCGTGCAAAACCGGCAGAACTATGGGCCCCATGTAAGCTGCGATCGTTACCATGAAACAAACGATCCACACAGACAGATCCCACCGCCGTGCAACTTTTGTGGAACCTGAATTGCTGGATGGCGGCAACATCTATTAAGACAATCCCACAGTAACATCTTTCGAAACTAGAATTTTACATCTGACTGAAACTACTGGCATTCAAATGACACTTGCTCCATTTATTTGTTGACATTTGCCACATTTATTTGTTAGATAATCCACAAGGCACCCAATCGCCGCCCCCCACTGGCCGCCAGCAACGAACATTCCCGCGCATTTCTGTTGTGTTTTTGTGTGGATGATGATATTTACCTGCCAATTTTTGTCTTGTCCGTTGGCCACTTTTCAAGTACTTTCAGGAATTTTTGGTATTGTGCCGACATTGTTTAAACAAATTGCTAAAAAAAAAAAAACGCGGCAACGTGCGCTGATAAAATATTTATCGGCCCTCAGAAATATACCAAAGTATACCGTCTCATTTTAAAAATATACCGTAAATATACTGACGAATTCAGGTTTTATTTTACATATTCCTCGTTTTTGATATTCCGTGGAATATTACTTATACTTCTATGTATATAAAACATTTAGCCAAGCCAACTTAATTTTATCCGATTAATGAATCAATTTTCAGCTTGACTGGCTAATGTTATGCACTCCTTTGTATTTGAATTTTCCTAATTTGTGCCTGTATTTCCTGTGGTCGCAAAGTTAGCAAAGTCTAATGTCATAACACTATTAGGGCCGCAAATACCGATACAGTCAGTGTTGAGCAACTGCAAAATATTTTAAGATTTGAGGCAGTTAATACTATTTTTATTTACTTTTAAATATATCTTTGTTACAGCTAAATAGATTGTACAAATTAATAAAAAAATGTGTAGTATAACTAAAGCCTGCTTTGCATGGTGTATTTCACACCTTTGAAAAAGTTTCGCATACATTTCAGTACTGGGTTAAAAGGTCGCAGAATTAAAATAAAAAAAATCGGTTGAAATCTGTTGGTAACTATTTTAACTAGCTCAGTAAGTTCTGACTTGAATCTTGTGCGAATATGTATATCTTTAAGTTGCTCAAATACCAGTGTAATCCACTTCCAGGTCACAACAGGATCTCAAATCAATGGATATCTTTCATTCGTTGCTTTTCGTTCGTTTCCTGGCGTTTCCTTTAACCAACATTTGGCCCAATTAAATTCGGTATTCAAAAAAAGGAGTACGCCTCCCTCCCGCTTCCCTTTGCAGGGGAAACAAAAAAAATCAGAGGCGCCAGAGAGAGAGCCAGAGGAACAAAAAACCGGAATAGCCGAAACACAAGAGAGAGCGCGCAAAAGAGTGAGAGAGAAGAGACAAAAAGTACACACATAAAAAACATAAACAAGCCTTTTTTCATAAGGCGAGCAAGCGAGAGAGAAGAACGGCGGAGAGCGACATCATTCCACCCTCTCGCTCAGCTGCTTCAGAAAAAACTTGCTTCGGTTGTGATTTTTTTTCCACTCTCTTTTTCGCCGCCGAACCGAGCAGAGTCCCGTTTTTTGTTGCTCCTGCTTTGCACCGCGTTCGTCTCTTGATGTAAACAAGCGTAACCGAAGCTTACGCCGCGCCACCCACCGCCTCCTCCAAAACGATTGTAATTGCAATTAATCGCAGAAGGCGGGTCGCCAAAAAAGTCCGAAAAGCAAAAAAAAAAAGCCCGAAATCATAAAAAAGGGGCAAAAGCACAAGTGCAGAAAAAAGTGACTTGTGCGAGTGTGTGTTGGTGTATTTTTGGCGTGCGCGGCCATTTTTTCTTGTTGCCACACGGGAATCTGTTTTAAGTGTGTTGGTGTATGTGGAAGAGAAACCAAAAAGAAGAGGAATATAAAAAAGCGAAATTTGCAAACTTATAACATAATAAGTAGAATCTATAAAATACGTAAAAAAGGTGCAGGAATGCGTCTAATCCAACAAGTCAAATACCGCAAAATCGCAAGCAAATTGTTCCCTAAAATACCTGTGTGAAAGATTGGAGGAGTGTGGAGGAACCCACCGTACCCCCCTCTTCTTGCAACAACCACCTACAATCAGCAGCTGAACACGTGCTTGCGGGCCAAAATATCAACAAAAGTTGGCCCACAAAAAATAAAGCAAGAAAACCCAGAACACAAAAGACCTTTTCGAATTGGTGAGTACTTTCCCACGAGCCTTTCTTTTATTTATTTGTCTTATTGGAAAGAAAACACTTTTTTTGTTTGCAAGTCTGTTTCCCGCGCTTGCTGCACAGTGGGCCGGATGTAATACGGGGGAATTCTAGATAGTGTAAGTGGTTCAATGGGAACCGATTAATTAAGTATGGATGTGTAACTTAATTAATATTTAAAATTTTAGATACCATTAACTTTTTTAGGCTCTTAAAATAATTATTTATTGAAAATTAGTATCTCATTTACCCCACAGTTGATATGGATGGTCAAATATTCTCCGGTCCATGTAATCCAATTTCCCCCTGAAATCCCATGTAAACCGAATTGTTCGCTGCTTTAAATTGCTCACAAAACGATTAAGTAAATGCCATAATTACCTTAAAGTTAAAATAATTTTATTCCCGCAAAAATATTTGTCCCGTCCCTTTTGTCCATCGTCCCCCCCCCCCCCCCCCCCCATCCCGTTGCCCATGTTTTTATGCTCGTTTCCATTCATTCGGTGGTGGCGGTTTTTTTGTGTGTGTCGTGTCTTTTTTTATCTTTTACTTTTTTTGTATTCATCAAATATTTGCTGTTTTTTCGCACACATGTCGCCCCCAACCAAGGCAGAGAGAGCGAGAGAGCCAGAGAACGTTTTTGTTCGTTTTGCGGTTTGCACGATGTCCGGCTGGTAGCTCGTTTGTTTATGTTGCGCTCTTGCTCGCTCTTTTGCGCTTCTCTGGATCAAGGTGTATGACTGAGAAGGTGAAGCAGATGGTTGTCTCTCTGTTCTCCGCCCACAGCATTACACTTGAAATCCTCCACTCGATAATCTTGTGTAGTAAAACAAACACTTGCTACTTAACCTTCTTCTGAATATACCTTGCTCTAGCTCTTCTGCTCTCTTTTGTTTTTCAGCTGCTTGCGCTCAATTAATTTTCGTTGATTCGTTTTTTGTGTGAGTTTGTTCGGGTGTGTGTGTGGGGTTTTTTTGTGTATACCATTTTATTTATATGCTTTTTTAGGCATCGTGCTGCTTCTTTCCCTCGCTTTTTTTTGGGGCCTGACTGACCGATTTGCCTGCGTCTTTGGGGCATTATCAGGTTGTTTGCTTTACTCTCTCTCCCTGCTCCTCCCCATTGTTTGTTGAACGCCACTTTTTTGCAATTGTTTTCAAAAGCAAACACTTTATAGGGTATTTTTACATTGTCCGTAATCCGCTTCCCCGTCTCCCTTCACCCGTTTTTTTTTTGTGCGCAACAAGCAAATAGCGCGTCCTTTTACATTCCGCTTCTCCTTCCCCTGTCCTGCTTCCACTTTTGCCACTGCTTCTACTCCTGATTCAACTTCTGCTCCCGCTCCCGATCCCGTTTCCTCTTCCATTCCCCTACCATTGTCCAACGTCAGCAACGACATCAGAACCGGTTCTTTTGACCAGCGCGCAAAAAAATAAAAGAAAAGAACTCAATTTGCCTCTGACGTCAACACCCACCCGACCAAAAGGTCGCTAACAAATTAGCGTTCAAACATTTTCAACTCTTATTTTAAAGAAACAGAAAACAGTAAATGTAATTCCATAGCAATTGTTGGCTCGAAGAAGGTAGTCTACAACTCTACTTTCTTGATCTGAAAAACATGTATCTCTCATTTCATTCATTCCTTAATTTTTTTTTGAAGAATGAACTTTATTGTATTCTAATTTCTTACAATTTGCTGGAGAGTGGAGTTTGAGTAGAGACCTTTGTTAGATTTATATCTTATCTTCTATGAAGTCCATGCGAATTACATTTCCATTTCCGTTTCATCTACAATAAATTTCGAGCTATTTGTAACTTGTATGCACATTTTGCGGAAGTGTAAATTTAAATGTAGAACAAGGTTGATCATTTTATTATGATTTTATAAATGCAACAAGTGGGGAAATATATGTATCACCGCTTTTATTCCGTTTTTTTGTGGGGTTTGCAAACGTGTAAGGATTATCAAAAATTGGGTTTTAAAATCAATTAAATTTCATTTATCAATGATGGATATGCTGGTGGAAATTAGTGTCAGAAAGAAGTCATATGATGGGGTTGGATAAGGGCGTAACAATTGATTAAAAAAAACATACATTAAAAGTGAAAGGAATTGAAGTAATGGAGTGCCATTAAAATACTTTGAAATGTATGGATTAATGATACTTAGATTAACAGATACCCCACACTCGTATACCCTTCTTCATCAGTTGTGAGAGTAGGAATAGTCCTTCTCCAATAGGAGTTTTCCCCGTGGGATATTTTGATACCCCATCAAATCATATTTCCCATTTATTTTCCACCTCTTTTATGTTATTGGTCCATTTATTGTTGCTGCCCCTCCCTGCCCACCTGCCACCTCCCAGAAATGTGTTAAACTTGTAGTTGCAATAAATTTCCATCCATCGAGGTTGTTGACACGTTCCGTTGGCGCCCCTGACGTTTTTTTGCTCCCTGTCCGAAAAAGAGAACTCAGATTCGGGTTTGGATTTGGCTTTCCATCTTGTCACCACGAAAACTTGTTGCCCCAAGCGCCTTTTTTGTTGATCTGTTGAAAAATTTTCATTTTCGCTTTTTCCCCCCTCTGGCATTGTTCAGAAGCAATTATTTTCGAGCTTTTTGCGCTTCAGTGGCAAGTTTTTTGTGTGGCAACACAGAGAACTCTTTCACGGTGCACGTTTTAATTCACAAACAATTAATTAATTCATGCATAAATATGTTAATGTGCAGAAATTAGTGTACGAAAGTGTAAGGGGAAGCAAAGTAGAGAATCGAAAAAGTAGTTTATTCCGAGTTTTGCAGCGTCGACAATTATTTCAGATTCAAGAATTACAATATTTCTGTACTTTCAGCAGAAAAACCCCACAACCGCGCACCAGAGGAAAGCGTAGAGCTGAGTCTCTTGTGTAAGCGGAGTCCGCTGCTCCAAGTGTCGACTGTCGGCGGTCGATTCGCCCCACAATCGTTGGTGAGCTCTGCCCCAAGCTGGACGCACGCACCATCGCCTACCGCCCGCTGACACTTGGGGGCCATCAGCCGCCGCTTATGGCCGAATTGCCGACGGCGCCGAACGGCGTCTCGAGCGGTGACTATCTCCATCGATCCATTGACCAGCTGCGATCCCTCACGCACCTGACCACAGCGGATCTGCGCACCGCACAACTGGTCCATGACTACAAGCCATTCAACATCAATGAGTTTCGTCAGAATGTGGTGGAGCGGCTGGACTACAGCCTGAAGAATGGCCTGGTGCACCACCAACAGCAGCAGCAGCAACAACAGCAGCAGGAGATGTTGCAGCAGCAGCAGCAGCATCAGGCACATCAAGAGCAGCAGCAGCAACAACAACAACAGCAGCAACAGCATCACCATCAGCAGCAGCAGCATCATCTAAAGTCCAGCTACAGTGCGCCAAGCTCTCCGCCAACACCACACGAGCAGCAGGAGCAAAAGGTGAGTCTTGGTGGAGTGCAGAGAAAATTAGACCTAATTCTTGACCGTTCCTTTCAGTACGATCCCAATAGATCGCCTCCACGGCCGCTCATGAGCAGCGGCAGCAATGCCTCGTCGCCAGAAGATGATCGCCGAGGCAGCGGCGGAGGACCTGGAGGTGGTGGAGGAGGAGACGGGGACCAGTCAAAGCCATACAAATGCGCCTCGTGCAGCAAATCCTTTGCCAACTCCTCGTATCTGTCGCAGCACACGCGCATCCATTTGGGGATCAAACCCTACCGCTGCGAGATCTGCCAGCGAAAGTTTACGCAACTGTCGCACCTGCAGCAGCACATCAGGACGCACACGGGGGACAAACCGTACAAGTGCCGGCATGCCGGCTGTCCCAAGGCCTTCTCACAGCTCTCGAACCTCCAATCGCACTCGCGATGCCATCAGACGGATAAACCCTTCAAATGCAACTCCTGCTACAAATGTTTTGCCGATGAGATGACGCTGTTGGAGCACATACCCAAGCACAAGGACTCCAAGCACCTGAAGACGCACATTTGCAATTTGTGTGGGAAATCCTACACGCAGGAGACGTACCTACAGAAGCATCTGCAAAAGCATGCAGAGAAGGCGGAAAAACAGCAGCAACGGCACTCCAGTCAGGTGGCTGCAGTGCAGCAGCATGTGCCATCGGGGGGAATCGGTTTGAATCTGCAGCGCCAGGCGATGAATGATGTGAATGCTGCCTACTGGGCCAAGATGGGCGCAGACAGTGCGGCTGCATCGCTGGCAGAGGCCATACAGCAGCAGCTGCCCCAGACCAATGGCCAGACGTACGCGAATTTTGCCACGCTCCAGCAGCATCAGCAGCAACAACAGCAACAGCAGCAGGATATGCTGCAGCAGCACCACCAGCGGCTGGCGGACACACCCGGCCACTCGCACAGTCCGCATGAAGACCCCGCCGGCGAGGATCTCGTCCTGCGGCAGACGACACCACAGCATCACCTGCAACAGCAACAACAGCAGCAGCAGCCCTCGCCTGGGCCTGGATCCTCGGCTTTTACTCCACTGAGCGCCACCGTGCCGCCCTCACATCTTCAGCAGCATCGTGGGGCACCAGCGGCCACCGCGGCCTACCTCTACCAGCAGAATGCGGCAGCGGCGGCCGCTGCCTTTCCCACGCAGCTGATTTCTCTGCATCAAATACGAAACTATGCGCACCAGCCAGGGGCAGCGGGTCTCATCGCTGGCGATCATCTAACCCTGGGTCTGAGCGCCGTCCAGGCGGCCAAGGAGAAGGCCCAATAGTACAGGCCCCTACGTGGCCACAAAAGGCAGCTACGATGACATTAGTTGTAGGTTTCAGCAGACGTTTAAACTGGCATGAGTTTCCAACAATTACATGCGGAATTCATCCCAGTTTCAACACTCGAAATTATGTGTAAGTTAGGTTTAGTTTAGGCACCAGTTGAAGGCAGTGCAGGAGCTGGTACTTCCATTTAGTATTAACCTTTGTATAGACTTACAAACCCTCTAGAATCAGGAAAAGTATTGATTGCTTTATTCTACTCATAAATCTCACTCTCCAGACTCCAAAACACTGCCCGAAAATAAAAACGCAGCTCCTCCCTGCCCTCAACTGCAAATTTTGAAGAATATCTATAGAGGACATGTGTATCTAGGACAACTCAGGATTTATATGATATTTATATGACCCTTTCCCATCTTTCTATTTATGAAAAATATCTCTCCAAAATAAAAAGGTAAAACTCTGAAATACTTGAAAAAAACCATCAATACATTCGAGTAGATCACAAGTTTTTCCAGACGATCCGATGATAGGAGCCGTACAAAGTACGGCGAATACATAATGTAAATCTTATGTAAATGTGTGCTGTACGACGTATCATATTAGCCATAAGCAAGAGAACCCTCGAGATATTATCTTTATTTATCAAACAAATTTGTTTAAGAACTAAGAAGTGTATTTTCTACCTAAAACACAACAAAAAATAAAAGAAACGAATTGTATAATAAATTTGGAAATAATTTATAAAAATAATTATCTTGAATGATCGTTGATATCTTTTACCGCAAGATTTGCATTTGCATTTAGGGATACGATGAGGATTCAGTGAACCAGAAAACTGCATGATAATCCGCTTAAGAGAATTTCCTTTTCCTTTCTTTGCGTCCCAAGGCGACATAAGACATGAGAGATTTATGTTTGCCGTACCCTACATATAATCTGAGTATCTCTATGGGGAAATGTAGGACTCGGCTCAAGATTCTATCGAGAGTTTTGTATACGATGGCGCAGCTGTCGTTTTGGCCAGTGGGGTGTTTCTTGCCCCTGCAACGATCCATGATTGATGACTGATTGAATCTTGAAGTTTTTTCCTTTGCCTGATCGAAGCAGAGATTAATGATTGGGTGTTCATATACATATGTACTCTCACACATATGTAAAACTACTTCATCTGCTTGAAACATCACGATTTGCAACTTGAATCAAGTGATTTCCACTCGAAGAATGAGCAAAGTTCTTCAACCGAAGAGATGGTGAACCATAAAAGATTAGTAAACTGATATTTCGTATATGGAATAGACAATAAAACATTTATGTTTTCAGCAAATTTCATAGCTAATTAATAAAACAATAAGTCATACAAAATAAAAACCAGTTTGAAAGATTTTAACAGGTGTTTTTTCTGTATTTTTTGCACTGAAAGTTCTGTCTTCTCTATTTGCTAAGCCAAGCATTTGAATGGTATTATTATAAATAGCTGGCAAAGTGTGTTAAGAACACTTGGGAGTAATGTGAATTATATGACCATTTTATGACTCAAATAAAAACAATATAAAAGCCACCTAAACAGCTCGTAAAAATTGCCCAAAGAATGGCTATTGTTTAGCGTTGAATAGACACCCACTAAGGGGATAAAGAACAGCAACAAAAGGAGGTTGATAGAGACATAACCCCTCCTAAAAGGACATTGTCTGCGCTGTTTTGTCAACAAGCAAGGATCTTGTGCGAAATTTCGGCACGATCCTGAACCCTTAACACCGACAAGGATCGCTGACAATAAACCAACAAATCATCAAAGGCTGGGATTGGCAAACACACCGCAGAGTACAAAGAGCCGGGATAAAAAGGAAATGAAGGGCTCATCGAACGACAATCGATCATTTGGCAGTTTGTGCAAAATGCGTGGAGTAGACAAAAGGGGTAAAACGGATCTGAAGGTATCGCGAATCTATGGCCAGACAATGTTTGCCAATAATATAATTGATAAATGATTTGATTTCTGCCAGCCGATCGCGGCTCATCGATCGATCATTGGCTGCCATTTCGAGCATTGGAAGTTTCCCCATGGGATCTCCTCTGCTCTCTGATTAGCATATCAATGCCTCACTTTTAAAAATGCACTAATGATCATGCGATTGTCTGATGCTGCTGCTGTCTGCCTGGATGGCTCTGTCTTCGGGGTGGCTCTTCTTTCGGGTTTCTTTGGGTGCTGAAATCATCACCGAATCTCTGTCCGTTGCGTGCCTCATCAGCGCTTTGTTATGCTAACTATGAGAAAAAACTGTGGCTGAGAGAGCAGCTATCCTGTCAAGGATGCTTGGTGCTGTCTGGGGTCCTGGGACTATCACTTTTACTTGCAGTCGTCGCTGGTCGTCTTTTTGATCGATATGATAATTAGAATGCAATGCTGGAGGCCAGGAAGGAGTTTTTTTCGTTGAGAGTGGCATCTGCTGGAGATCTTTAAAGAGTACAATGAAAGAAGGATAGGGCTACAGGGGAAGAAATAGAGCATCATAGATCTGGCTGGTGGTCTTTAGATATTTTTTAGAATTTATTTGATGATCGTAGAACATTTCTTAGTGCCGTAGGAAAGGATTTCCCTTTCTAGATTATTTTTCCCACTAAAAGTACCTTTATTAATTAGTTCCGCTTGTACTCCACTAGTTTCCTTACCTTTTCCTTGATATCAATCCATAAATTCTCTCAGAATAACCTCCTCTCTTAGGGTATCTCGCTGGTCCTTTCGTTCCCTAACTTTCTTTCAGTGCAGAGCCCCTTCAAAATCTGTTTCAGGGGCAGGCATTATGCATACGACTTGCATTTGAATATTATCTATGCGTTTTTCAATGCCAAGAGATCATTTCGAGGGCTGCAGAAAGGCGTCATCAAAGCCATCAATAGATTTATGGTTTCTAAACTCTAGAGAAAATCAAAACACACACCCTATACCCCATAGATAGCCAACGATCAGATCATCAGGGGTTGCCACACACACAAAAACATCCGGAGAAAGGATTTCACCCCAGAGAAGGTTTCGGGGGCGCTTTGCATAAGAAAGGACCCGTCGTTCGAGCATCGAGGGTAACCCGTTCACGTATGGCATTTAGTCGGGGGTTCGGGCATTCAGCAATTCTTTTGGATAAACTATTTATGAAATTACTAGACAATGCAGACAATATGCAGAATACACTCCACCGATTAGCCCATATATTGAGTAGAGGAGAGGATAGGTGTGTATGTTTTTCCCATAACTTCTTGTTCCTTGTGGCATTCGCATTTCCATATTCCTTCAGTCTTTTGCCAATTTTTGTGGCTCTCTTTGTTCGCTCTCTTGTGCTCGTTGTACTCCTCTGTATTGTTCGATTCTAATAAGGTGCGATATTGTGAAATTTGATGCGATTTTCGTTAGCTATTCTTCAGGGTTTGAGTACGAGTATATTCATATTTTGCACCCTATCCTATACTCATTCTCTCAAAAGGGATTCGCACTTTCCGCGGATAGGGCACACAATCGCTGCTGCTATTGTTGAGGTTTTTTTTCTATGCTCTTGTTTGGATTGATTTCCCTTTATCATCTTTCGATTGTTCAGTAATTGATATTTGAGCGAGTATATTGGCATATTGCCAAAAAAACGTGGTTTGTGGCATTCTAATTAAACGTTTTTGAGGGCTCGGATTTGAGGGAATTATTGAGGGATTGGATGGCTTTTATTACACTATTTATTGGTATATTAAAAGGGGTTTTTTCTAACACATTTCAAACACGTTTTGGCAGGAGTCATTCATTATTTGAGGGCAACAGATGTTGGAGAAAGGTTGAACATTTAATGGGACTGTAATCTCTATATCATTTTCTTTCTTTCTGCCTTTTCCGAAGAAGGATATTCTTGGTATATACATATATCTACTGTTTCTTTTTCAGAAAAAGGATTTTTAAAGAGCTTCTCTCCTTATTTTAAGTGCAAATATTTTTCCCCTGAGTTCTTTCATTCAATTGTGTTTGCCATTCAATTAAATATTTTTTCCATCAGTTTTTTTCGATTTAAAGCCCTGCCCAAAAGGCCCATCAAGTACTTAACAAGGTTAACATTTATTCAAACAAAAAACACGAGTTATTTGCTTTACATTTAAACTCCCTGACACCCAACACGTGTTTGGCAAATACCAACAAAAAACTAAAAATTAACTGCGTAATTGAAAGGTACATAAAAACGTGTATCCTTCGTACAGGAATCGTTTGTTATACGCCAGAAAATGACGCACTAACAAAAATTTAATTAAATTTTCGCGCCGCCTTTTGTCAAAAACCTACAGAAAAAGCTAACAAAAAAAAAGGATAAAAAACTACAGTAACAAGGCCGATCCAAACGAAAAAAAAATCTTGTCACACGGGATTTCTTTCTGCATAAAAAATTACGCGCCAAAAAGAAAAAAAAAAGCTGAAATCGCTTCAATTATAAACGACTTTTTTCGGTAGTCAAGCATAAAAAATTTCCGAATTCCAAAAAAAAATGGGTTAAAAAAACTGACAAGGGGCTGCATCCTGATGGGTTATATTTTTTTTGTGTCCTTCGGGAGAGTAGAGTAGTGTAAAAAAATCACCCAAAAAAGTATGCAACGGGCGGGCATTTGGTTACCTCATTTGAATATTTGGCGCTGGAAACTTTCTCACGATTTTTTTCCTTAGGTCTACCCACAGCTCAGGGGTGACGATCAAGGATAAAGGCGCACCCGGGGACTGCGACGGCGACCGAGAGACACAAAAAGATGCAGACAGCCATCCTCGAGGCAGAAGACAAGAAGTAGAAAAAAAATCCGGATTTTTTGCCTCATTTCCATGCGGAAGCGTTTCCTTAACGATCTTTGTGGAAAGAAGGGTGAGTGCCATGAACAAAAGGGACCAAAGGACCAAAGGATTCCTTTAATTTATGCACAACACGTTCGCGGATCGGACGACGCGACGCACCACCTCAAAGGGTTGTCTGAATGGGCTGATGATCCTCTGCCGGGATATCTGGGGGCACCGCATTTGCATACACGATCTACACGCCACATGGAAAAACGGGGTGCGGGTCAAACATCATTTTTCATTTATCAGCCGTAAAAAAAACGAAAAAAAACATAGCTCTTTGGAATAGAAAAATACGTTAATTATTTAAATTTGTTTTTTTTCATCTCTCGGATTTCTTTTAATGCGCAGGGCCAAGGTGTGTCCTAGGGAAGTCCTTTCCTATTCCTATTCCTATTCCTTTCAGTTTCCTCCAAGCTGTTTGTCTGGGTCAATTTTTTCTCCCTTCAAGAAGTCGGCCGCGGGGCAGGGAAACCACCCCAAGAAAGGGCTATCTATCCTCTAGAACATCTTTCTGGGCTTCTTACTGGGCTCTTCCTTTTGTCGTTGTCGTATATTTGTTTATCTATTTTACATATTCAGGCTTTGTATCCGGTTCTTTGGCAGAGAGTTTCTAAATCAATATTTGCTCATTAGTCACATTCAATAATTTTAATTATTATAATTTGTATGCGCACTGAATGGCAATAAGAAATGTACGAATGGCAGCTGTGTAATCATCAAAGGGTAAAGGATTTTCTATAATTTAAGTAGGAGAAAGTATCATATAAGAAAGGATTCATCGAATCTGAAGTATTTTAATTGTAAACTGATTCATTTTATATCCATATCGATCTTTAATTTTCTCTGTTTCCTGTTTC